ATTTCTTCTCTCTCTCTCTCTCTCTCACTCTCAGTGAAATGATTTGTCTTTTTTCTCTCTTCTTCCAATCTGTGTGCGTGTGCATGTGCACATTTTCCTGTTCTTCTGAAGACTGCTAGGCTGCAGTGGTAAGGGGATATATATATATATATATATATGCTGGAGTACTAAAAAATATGGGGTAAGGCTACACATTCACACATATGTGAATAATACTAATGCAGTCCAGCTCCTATGTCAGTTAAGGACATACCTTTGTGTTTGTGTGTGTTTGTCCACATCACAAAGATGAAGAGGCCACACACTTGGTTTGACAATGACAGAAAAGTGTGTGTGTGTGTGTGTGTGTGTGTGTGTGTGTGTGTGTGTGTGTGTGTGTGTGTGTGTGTGTGTGTGTGTGTGTGGCAGTGTATGGGCAGCAGTGGACGTCTGCCACACTGCCAGCTGGAAAACGTCAGTTTCCTTGAGTTGCTGTCACACCACTGCATCTGCGCATTTGTGTATGTGTGCGACTGACTGTTTGCATATTTGAACATGACGAGAGATGTGACAAGCAGAAAGGCAGAGTGAGGAAGGTAGACCGAAGCAGAGCCAGTCAGAGCTTTGAGTTGCGTTTCATTTCCTGTGTGTGTCTCCCTCGTTGTCCACGCTGGGTGCGGTTATCTTGGAGTCACTTTAAAACTGGGAATCATGGGCTTCTCTGTATGCTTGTTTCCTGTGTGTGGGTTTGCATGTTTTTGTCTACATATGCATGTACGCTCACAGTAGTGCATACCTATTTATGCATGCTGACTATTTGTATTTGTGTGTGCATGCATTCCTGGTCTATATGTGTGGGTGTAAATAGCCCGTAGCTAGCTGCAGTGTGTATTGAGGGCAGTACATCAGGGTAAGGCAATCTGCCTCCAAACAGCTCCTTCAGGTGAGATTTATCACCACTGCACTTGGCCTCTTATTATGGCGATGGATTCCCTACCTCTGTATCTTGGTGTGCATGTGTGAGTGCACACCAAGTGTGTGTGTGCATGTGTGTGTGTGTGTGTGTGTGTGTGTGTGTGTGTGTGTGTGTGTGTGTGTGTGTGTTTAGCCCCCCACCCCAGTCTGCATCCTTATTAAAGTGCTGCAGAGGGAAGCAGCCATTGGTTTGTGTTGACTCCACCCTCGACAACTCCTGATAGGGATCCACTGGACACGCACAGACACTGGGAATAATATAAATTGGGAATGACAAGAGAGAAGACATAATGCTGAGGGGACAAGAGGAGAGTTTTGGGTTGATTTACTCTCTCCTTCTCCCACCACACATTTTGCATTTGGGCTGCAAGTTGCAACCAAACAAAACTACAAATTCCAAAATTCCTGGCTGGAAGTCACGCGAGGTCCCAAAGCAGTGGAGCTGACTGACAGTCAGTTAGGTAGCACTGGAGAAATAGGTCACAGAGCTAAAAATACTTATCTATGTCTCTCTCTTCCTCTCAGTCTCACACTATCCTGTATTCTCAAAAAAGTAAAACAGATAGAAAGTATAAATAAGGGGATGATGAAAGGAATAACTCGAAAAAAGAAATACCCTTAAAAACATCAGACCCCAGGCTCACTCCATACGAATGAAGAAAAAACTGAGAGCAAGAAAGGGAATGAGAGAGTGCAACTGTGTGTTTCCCACTGTGTGTATGTGTGGCTGTGTATTTCTTTGCCTCCATCCACACGGGTGATACCGCACAAATGAGCGAGTGAGGGAATGAAAGGGAGAGATTGAAAGAGGAAGAAAGATCTAGAAATGGATGCTCAGGCTGTGGTTTCAACCATCACGTGGGGCTGTTTGCACACAGAGCCGGTTATTACATGGAACTCATTTAGCGCCGCTCAGTCAGGCAGGGCAGAAATAATATTATATAGGCCCTGCCACAACCACTGGCAGTACCACTGCACGCTATTATCTACATCTCCCCCTCTAACCAGCACAAAGAAGTAATATCCCTGAAATATACGCCACATCAGCTGCCATTTTGACAAATTCAAACACCTTTAATTTAATTGCAATCTACTTCATATGCAGGTAACATCAGAACTGAACCATTTGGAGGTAGGATATTCATATCTTCTTTGTAACCAACATAACACAAAGATAGAAGTAAAATATTAACACGTTCTGCCAGTAGATAGTCAAAATCTAGTAAATCCCTCTAAAGGAACTCCTAGGAATAAGCTATCCAAAAAGATTTAAAGGGATCTGCCAAACTGCATGGAGAATTTCCTTCAGTGTTTTTTTTGCTGAATATTAAAGTGGTGACATGCCTTGATTCACAATGTAGAGAACCTCGGTGGAGGGTGGGGGGTTGAGGGTAAGCGTCCTGGAGGGCTCAGATGGTTTGAGGCCGAAAAGAAGGAAAATGGAAGAGAGAAGAGCGACCGAGACCGAAAGGAAATGGCTGAACAAAAGGGGAGATGGCGAAAAGAGTGATGGATGGAGAAAGTGATGAAGGAGGAGGCAGGGAACGTGGAAGACGGGGCAGCAGAGGTGATAGGAGGAAAGAGAGGGAATAAGAGGGAGGGAGATGGACAGGAAAGCAGAGGAGAAGGAGAGAACCAGAGATTAAACGAGTCTCTAATCCATCTGAGAGATAGACGGAGAGAGGGCTGGTGGGGAAATGCCCAGTAGATTGGGGCTAGCTGCTCTCCTCCACTGATTTGCCTTCACACACAAATGAACCCTGTACTTCCGCACACACACATCAGCTGTCTGTAACACTGCATCTGCAAGTCCACACTTGGCTGGGCAACGGGCAACGATTGTAAATGCTTCACACAGAATTAACATCCACTGAATTAATTCTAATTAACTGCTGACATTCAACAAAGTTTAAGGACATTTATGGACACAACATGCACTGTCTCCAGCACACAGCCAGCCACCCTATTAGGGTCGACATTGAACCACATTTTGCTTGTTGGTTGGCCCATTTTACTGGATAGGCCTCTAATGTGTATGCCTCAAACAGTTTGTTTGTAGACATGTTAATTACCAGGGCAGTTTAAAAGCCAATCGCAGTGTGGTAACTGGAACGTAAGTTAAACCCACACTGCGTGGCGGTGGCATTTATGCAGTTGGTGACATGTTAAAGGCAGCGTTGACTGCTGTGGCCCTGTGTAATAAATACATTCAGCTTTATTTCTGCAGATCAGAGTCATGCTGTTGTGAAACAGTGTGCCAGCATCCCTGCAGGTCTAGATCTGACAGCGACGACTTCGCTGCTTTTTTCCGTCTTCTTTTTCCCGTCTTCTTTTTCCTCTTTTGTCTAACTTTAAGCACTTAAAAATCAATGTAAGACCACCATTGAAAATTGGACTCTAGTTCATTAATTACTGGCCCTGAGCCTGTTTTTAACCATTTAGTTTCTACTCCTTGTCCTATTTCCTTATCCTCTTCCTACTACCTCAAACTCCTCTCCCTCTCTGTCCTGGTACATCTGTATATATATTTCATGCAAATCTGTCAATTTAATCCCCTTGACATGGTGTCAGTGAGGGCCTCTGGGAGCAATCTGTGTACACTTTGGCTCTGCCTGGATTAGCATCCCATAGAGGAGGAAGCGGAGGAGAGGGGAGGAGAGGAGAGGGAGCTCTGAGCTCAAAGGTCCCACATTACAGCCTCCATCCAGTCCACCTGTCCATTCACATAACTGGATCCCATTTAACTTAATTTTACATCTTTATTTCACTATAACTGGGGTGTATGCTGTAGTATGAATAAAATGCATTTGGCCAAAATACTAAAATAGCACCACGGTCAATCAGGGCTGCACACAGTTTCCCAGTCAGTACCATTCCAGTTTCCTCTCTCCAGTGAAGTGCTCTTCAGAGCAGGCACGTACAGGGCAGTCCTTAATGGAAATGCATGAAATGTCGCCTGTGTCTGCATGCATCTCAGAAAGGCTGACAACCGACAGACAGACAGGCAGAGAGGCAGACAGACAGTCAATATCCCAAATCCCTGCTCAGGTGAAACCTGTGTAGCATCCGATATGCTTCCCTCTTTTTGCACACAAGTCTATGACTCTTTTCTTTGTTTGAAATTTGCCTAGCCTGGACCTTTTGTGTGCTCAAACACTCCTCGGTTGTATGTTTATATTGGAGCTATTGTGTGTTGGGGGGGGGGGGGGGGTACCCTGTAAGTACCCGCTGACAGACGCACATCAGCCACCTTTTTGGCCGGAAGCCCAAGCGGGCAGCAGGCGTCTGCATTCCGCTGAAAGCAGTCTCAGAAAAACAAAAAGACCCCCCAAAAACCTGCACAAAGGCGATCTATACAGGAGAAACTTAACGGGAAATCCATCCATTAAAGACCCATTAGTGGGAATAAATGTCCATAAAGTGTAAAGCGCCAGATTGCAATTTAGATGGTATTATAGGTGCTGAAGATGAAAGCAAGTCCCGGAGTTTAAGCCGTAGGCTACACCGGCGTATTTACCTCAGCCAAAATATCTCCAAGAGGTCCGGCAGTAAAGGTAACACTGCAGCCTAAAACCCGAGCGGTGAGCTTCATTCTGCCTACCTGTTTATCCCCTTTCTGTCCAAAAATGTGCACACAGGTACTGTAAAACCATCTAAGCTCCCTGCCACTCCAGCCTGGCTTTGACCGTGATCTTGGCTGGCTACGCTGGCAAGGGACATACCGGGTCACCCAAATCTACCTCCAGCATTCCTCCATATCCCTGCACACACGCTGCTGTTGGCTCGGGGAAATAATTATATGAATTGCATCGGAGCGCACAATAATCCCCTCATGCCAAAAAATCCGAAACCCCCGTCAGCTTCAAATTTAACTTTTTTTTAGGGTTCGCATCCGCTGACATTATCTCTATCTCTGCTGTATGCATTGCATACATTGGTAATCATGCTGAGAAATATCTGGGAATTTAAGGGTCCTAAATTGCACTGACAGCATGCACAAATACAAAAACCGCAAACGCTTAGGAAATGTGTAGTAGCCTACTTACGATTTGAGGGGGTTCTGTACCGCTGTGGCCATTTTGATATAGTATGATAGAATGCAACACTGCAGAGCCCGGTATTGTACATGTAATGTAGCAGCTATTTCAATTTCATTCATTCTCTGGGGCTGCGGCTGGAGCGAGCAGCCAATAAGAGGCGGGAGCGCTCTGTGACAGCTTTGGGGAAGTGTAGTTTTTTACGCATGTCAACATGAGACATGCAGAGGAGGAGCGCACTACAAGTACCAGCGCGGATAGCGGTTTAAGTGGACCACAGTCCCGCCTCGGACTTGTAAGTGCAAAGCCATCCCCCAGTTCCGAATTCATGTAAAAAAAAAAACAAAAAAAAAACGTCTACAGTTATGTCAAGGTTGGGTTGCAGGACTGTCAGTCAGTCTGAGGATGCCAGTTTCTCTTATGCACTGTTGCCTTGTCTGGTTGGCGGTGATGGATGTGAATCTGCACGGGCTAGTCCCCAAACTATATCATATCATACAAGTGGCAACTTGATGGGTGCATTGCACACTAAAGGCTGATGATGAATACATTTCAAAGAGAAAATCATTTTAAGAAATCATTAATACATTTGTGCAGAGACAGCAAGTGAATATGCGTGTACATTTGATGAGCCATAGGCCAGGTAATTTACCTTACTTGTTTGTGTAGGCTATTATAGGAAGAACTATAGAGAATAACAAAAAACAATGATATTCATCATTATTTTTTTCTTTGCATGTATGCCAATGGGGAGCAGGTGAATATGTGTGTAGGCTACAGACCAGGTACAAGAACAAAAAACATTAAAGCACTACTGAATTTGCCTAAAAGATGCAGTCAACATATAAAGGTGGTCAACTCTAATCTACTAAAGCAAAGTTGGACAGTATATTAAATTGTATGCCATTACCCTCAGTAATAAGTTTATACTATCTCCTATTTGAGGGCACATTAAGAGACACTGTGTCTACATAAGGCTTGCATTAGACTTGTTGATAGACCCTTGGTTAATCTTATGTTTTCAAGGTAGCCTTGCTCTGAACAGCGTTAATTATTCATTAATCAGGGGCGATGAGTTGGGAGTCGGCCTATAATTGATTCTTTCAGACATTTGTCTCTCATGGTTGAGCCCGGAGAAAGGCTGGGACCCTCTCCACCCCTACATCTTTTATTCCTCCCTTCCTTAATTAATTCTTCACTTCCTTTCCATCTGCTCTCTCTCCCTGCTTGCATACCTCCTTGCCTGGATCTTGTATCATTATTTTATATAGGCCTGAATACTTGTAGGGTATTGTTATTCAACTAGCCTATTGGTGTTTGAACTGTCCCCTACATTAATATTATACTTGAAGGTAAGGAAGGAAGCAAGGAAGGAAGGATGGAGCTCAGCCAGGACTGTTAGAACAGCAATGCTGGAATTTCTTTCTCCATGTCATGTTAGCAGCAGTGGCGCCGCTCTGAAGCCATTCAGTGACATGTGATATTTATAGATCTGTGCTAACAAATATTTAATGAACATTAGCAAGCAGCTCTAACATGGCAGCACTGCTCCAGTATAACACGCTCTGCAAGTTCAGTGGAAACTTTGATTCCATGTGTATTGCTGTGATTATGATTTGGTTGCTGTTTAAAAAAAAAAAAAAAATACATCCTTTTCAGCTTCAGGTAGTTGAACAAACTTGACTGGTATTGTGTTTGGTTTGCATAATCGTCTAAACTTTACACTAGTGCAGATTTGTGATCTCATCTAAATTTATGATTTCTTATCGCACTTATTTCTGAAGTTAGTTGAATGAAAGCTCCTGTGCTGTTCTGCGCTTTGCCCACAGGGTGGTGCTGATGTACCGGACAAGACGCTGGACCAAACGCACTGCTAATGCGTCCTACGTCACTGCCTGCGTGCCCCCGTGGCTCCTCCCCCTCGCGCAGCGTCAGCAGTACACGCGCTGTTGTTGTGATTGACAGACAAACAGGAGTCATGTTGAAGTTTCGTTTTGCCTTGCGTTGCCACACACGGGCTTTAAGTAATTAAAGAACGATGTCCGAAATACTGATGAAAGAAATGGAGAGTATATCGATCAGTCCAGTGAAGGCAGAGGAGCGTCCAGACGGTGTCTCGAGCTTCCTGCTGGTGGACGAACAAGAAAACCTGCAGGTAAAGTTAGCTAACGTCAACTGAGCTAGCGGCTGCTAACGTGTAGCTGCTAGGCTAAGAAGAGGAAGACCACACACATTGTAGTGAAGGCCAATAACCATCTGTTGCTTACAGTTGCAGTGTTGATATATGAGTCAGTTTAGCCGACAAAACACCGAGCTAAAGCAGGGTTTGTTGTTTTTAACTCAGCAAAGTGTGCCAGATGTCTTTCCTTCTCTCCACCAGTTATCAGAGTACGAATAAGTCGCTTTTAGCCGTGACATCCATCATCTTCGCCTACATATATGTTTCCTGCTTACAAGGGGCTCAACGAAAAAATAGACATAAACTACACCTGATAGAGGCAGAGCAGCAAACGGGTTTGTCTCTGGGAAAACCCCTGGTGAGTCATGAAGCACAGCTGACCCGCAAGGAGGCAGCCTCTCATCGCGCTGTTGTTGCAGCAGATCATAGTGCAGGCCATAATTATTATTTTTCACATATTCTGGGATGAGTGCACTCTCATTGTTGTCCTGTTAACGAAGATTTAATTTCAAAGGTTGGTTACCTGAACTGAATGTTAAGAGTCATAGATAATAAAACACTTATAACCCAGTTCAGTTCCTTGTCACCAAAGTATGAATTGTTCACACAAATTCAATAAGGTTTTTCCTTGATTCAATGAAGTCAGCAGGGGAGCCAATGAAATCATGTTAAGATAGCCCAGCAATCTATCCTCTGTCCACAAACAACTCTCCTCTTGGTGTTCTCCCTCCAGGTCCGCGATGAGTCTGAGTTTGTGGAGCGACTCGGATGTGGGGACGTGGCAGGAGTCAAGGTCATCTCCATCTTTGGCAATACGGGCGATGGCAAGTCCCACACCCTCAACCACATCCTATTCGGCGGTGAGAGCGTGTTCTACACCTCCAAGTCCCCAAGCTCCTGTACGGTGGGAGTGTGGGCCGCGTATGACCCCACCCTCAGCCTGGTTGCCCTGGATACTGAGGGCCTGTTGGGGGCTGCAGCCAATCAGAATCAGAGAATGCGGTTACTGCTAAAGGTAATTTTAGTTGTCGCTGGTTGGACACAAAATGTCCAACATAAAACTACTCTGTCTTCACGTAACACTGTGTACAGTTCTGGTGCTGGTACATTCTGGTCATGACTAGTGGATTTTTGTACTCAGACAATTTAATAGGTAGCTAATAATCATTTGGGTTAGATCCCAAAGGTAGAGAAGCGAGCTTGTGACCGGGAGGTCACCGGTTCAAGGTTCTGGGTGTGGAAGGTAAGCCAAGCAGTGCTTGCCCTCCCTCATGTACCACCACCGAGGTGCCCTATAACCCCAGCAGCTCCAGTGGAGCTGCTTAGTGGCCAGCAGACCAGGCTGTGGTTGTACTGGGCAGCTTTCAGGTGTGAATGTGATCATGGCCTTCCTGGATAAGAGAGGCTTCCTCTCAGTGAAGCTCCCCTGAATAAATAAAGGTTAAAAATGAAAAAAATTTAAAAAAAGAAGAATTTAGGCTCTATACCTTTCTTAATAAATCTTAAATTGCATTGTAGTGTCTCCAGAGCCCCAGTTCTCTGTCCCAGCTCAGTGTTGCTCCAGGACCAGGTGATGCTGACAGCATCAGCACGCAGGTGTGAGAGGGCTATGGACACACATGTCCATGTAGATTTATTGGCTGGTAAAAGAGTGAGATGCAATGTAAATTATGCGGATTCACCAGCTACTGTGTGTTAAACAAACTGTAGAGTAGGGCTGAACGATTTTGGAAAATAATCTAATTGTGATTTTTTTTTACCCTTATTGCGATTTAATATGCGATTGATTCTTAAGCTCTTTACCTTCTGTATTATTCAAAATGGACAAGCAGTAAATCAGTGTATAGTGTGACCGACACAGTATTAGCAAAATTAAACTTACACTGTTCTTTCTTGTGAGTCAGGCCTGTGTTATGATGAAATTAGGTGATACATGAATTAAATGAATTATTATTATGAGCTATGGTGTAGAAGAAATATCAAATTTTAATAATATGAGAAAGATCATTTGAGAGTCAAGTCACGGCATTAAATAATATGATATAATATCATCAGGTCGGCCTACCTACAGATCACAAGAAAAACTAACTCACTAGTTATCCAGTAAGCGCTCATGCAAAACCCACAGTTCAACCACCAATTATTGAATCCTTATCTCAGCTATAATCTCCTAGGAGTCCATCTTTCTTTATCCCAGTAAGCAAACAAAAAATACTCAGTTTGAGGTTCAATTCAAAAGTTGGCCAATGAAAATAAAACCAAGTGTTGCCTCTCGTGTTTAATAGACAAGCTTAGTAATTCTCCGACAACACCGGAGTCCCCCTCCTCCCCCGCAGCCTGCGATGCAGCTGAGCAGTGCACTGGCTGTAACAAGGCTGTAACTCCGGACAGACTGGGCCTCTTTCGGACGCAGGCGCAGATCGCCACAATACGCTTACTTTACTACACGTGTCTTTCTGTTGTGTATTTTTCCTGTCCGTCAAAGTGGCGGATGGCCCGACGATTTCACCCACCACCACTAAGTTACCGGGTGCTACTTTCATTTCCTGTGTGACACTAAAGTTTCTGTATTGCCAGCGTATGTCAAGCTTAAGGCCATTGTACAACAACAAGTCAAGATACAGCGTAATGTGCAAAGTTGATGCTTCGTCTGCAGACTATTTTACTCTTGGGTGTCATGTGACCAGAGTGTAATTGCAGCCTTTGCTATTAGAAAATCTTGTTTTATCACATCTCGATAATATTGAAAATGCACCTAATGAGTGTCACATGCTGCAGCTCTTTAAGATGTTGTGTGTTCAGAATGACTAAGATGTCTTCCTTGTTAACTCTCCTTATGCTTACACTATAATTTATCAACTAATCCTTGCACACTTACATCTATATTCCATTCTCCTGTTATTTTATTGAAGATGATTATGCTGCTGCTTCTGTCTTAAGTCTTTTTATCTGCTCCCTTCTTTTCCAGGTATTGGCAGTGTCTGATATCGTAGTCTATCGTACACGGGCAGAGCGCCTCCACAACGACATGTTTGTGTTTCTGAGCAACGCCTCGGGGGCCTACCTGAAGCACTTCACCCCGGAGCTCAAGGCCCTCTCCAGCCGCTGTGGTCTGGACGTGCCCCTCTCTTCTCTTGGGCCTGCAGTTATTGTCTTCCAGGAGACAACGCACACTCAATTGCTCGGTCATGGTAGGGAAGGGAAAGATACTCAATAGCATGTACTGGATATGATTTCAAAAACACGCCTCAGTTTTTACAAGTAAAGTCTTTGTTCTAAAATGTCTTTGCTTTTTCTTTCTGTTGTAGATTCTAAGGTGGGCGGCCATGCCGACACGCTGCTCCAGAAGCGCTTTCATGACCTGGGCTTGGGGACAGAGGCCTTCAACTCGGTGCAGTATGTGGGAACCCAGACCATCACGCCTCCCACTGACTACAACAGGCTGCTAGAGGCCGTGAGGCAGCAAGTGAAGAACACTCACACACGCTCCCCCCGCCAGCCCGGGATAGTGTTTCATGCTTTGGAAGTAAGTGATGCACCATTGTCTTCTGTGATTAATAGAGACCAAGTAGAATTTTAGAGAAATATTTTGCTCTTTGTTCGTGTTGGACTCGACTCTTATCTCGTTTCCTACTTCCCCTCCCTCCTATCCTTCTTCTCCTTCCTTTGTATGTTTCCTTAGGCCCTAAGTGAGCGTTTCTGTGGAGAACTGTCAGACGACAAGATGACCCTGTACTGCTTCTTCCCAGACGAGTACTTTACCTGCTCCGCTGTCTGTCTCAGCTGCAAGTAAGTCATCTGTCACTCTTTTTGTCTTTAGCTTTTTACCATCATAGAGATTATTTTGGGTCTGAAATTAATAAATAAAATAAAAAAATCAGAGATGAAGCATTTTACTCCTCTAAACCTGTGCAAAGTTAAACTTCTGATTACTTACGTTGTTCAGTGCATACTTGTGTTCCCAAATCCATCATTTCTACTTTTTAAGATAACAAAACATTTAATATATTTTGGATGGCTGAATCACACTCCTGGTTTTATAACTGGGCTGCAAATCTTTGAGTTCTCCTATGCTAGATGCTTACTACTACTACTACTGTCCATCACTCTGCTTCTAAAAGAATATTATTCATTCAGCCTTCAAGACATGGAGACAGGTCAGACTAAAAGTATTTTCCACTCTGGAGGCATCTAACCCTGCTCCCCCCTCTGTTATGGATGAAATCTGCTCCTCATGGTCAAATCTCAGCATTAGGAGCTTCAGAGATCTGGTCATTGATTCTTGACTCCGTTTAGAAAATTGCAGATACAGTTTTTATAGTTTAGCATTTCTTCCAATATTCCCAGTAGACCCAAATTATTACTTAAAACAGAGTATTTCTGACTAAATGCAACTCTTTTTGCTTAAAGTACTCGAGTTAGGGAACATCCCTAGTGTTCTGAATTTTCATACAGCAGTTAAAGGCTTTTATTGCCAGATGGAAACATGAACAGACACACAAAGAGAAATCTTTTTTGGCTGATTCACAGAGTTGGAATTTATTCTTCTAAAGCAAAAATCACTTGTTGTTGTTCTTGTGGATGTTAACGGTCTCCCCTGTGGGACACATGAAACTTGATGTCTTTTCCACATTTTTGGAAAGGAGAAGTTTTGTTTATGAGAGAAGTCACATCTCTGCTTCTGCAAGGAGTCAGTCCTGGATTAATACACATCGTTCAGACTTTTACAAAACGCTCCTCCATCAGTGACTCTGACGTCTGTCATGCTGGCCTGAAACGTTTGGTTTTCTGTCTCGTCTCCAGCATTCGCTGTAAAAATGGAATGAACCATCTGAAAGACAGGGTCCCCCACATGGCCGATGGGCTGTGCCAGTACTCACACCAGTACAACAACAAAGTCCTTATCTGTAAGGTAAGACTGACTCCTGACACCAGCCTCGTCAGCTAGTTCAAATGTGATGTTGTTTTACGTGGTTTCAGCTGAGTGGTACTGGTTGTTTCATCCTGAGTGTTCCCCTTTTCTAATTATTCCTTACATGGTTTCGTATAAAAAAAGAACATTTTTTATATCTTGTCTATATTATTTTCTGTGTTTTATGTCTCCAGAGGTGCTATGAAGGAGGCAGAGAGGTGATTGTCGTGCCCAAGACGTCAGCGTCCAATGACAACCCATGGTTTGGACTGGCCAAGTATGCCTGGTCAGGGTACGTAACACACACACATACACACACACACACACACTTTTTTACCACATTTCATCCAATCATTTCATGTTATCTTCCCTCCTCCCTCTCAGCTATGTGTTGGAGTGTGCTAGCTGTGGTGTAATCTACCGCAGCAGACAGTACTGGATGGGAAACCAAGACCCTGAGAGCGGCGTGGTGCGATCTGAGGTCAAACATGTCTGGGAGGGGGTAAGTTCTCCACCCTTCTGATCTTCATTGAGTTTATAGTTTCAGTACAAAAGAACTGAGTACCGAAATTATAATTCAGGCATCTGATGGTTGAGATTGTGCATAGTTAGCTTGCACAACAGTGTCTGCTTCCTACATGACATCATGAAATCCATTATTACATTAGACTGACCAACCTTATCAGATCAATCTTATTTTCTCCATCTGTCTCTCATCCCCCTCTCCCTGACTTTACCTGTCCGCTACGAAACCCTTTGCACCTCTCCTTCAATTGTGAATTTTTTTATCCCTCTTTCTTCTCCCAGTCGGACACCTTTCTGGCCACCCACCAGAACGCGGCCCAGAGGGTCCTGGATGGTATGAACTTTGTGATCCAGTCCGTGTCAGAGTACAGCACCGGCCCCACCAAAGCTGTCGCTGCCTGGCTCACTGACCAGGTGGCGCCACCATACTGGAGACCCAACACAGAGATCACTGTGAGTATGAAGAGCTAAAGCTGAGACAAACAACAAACACTACACAACAATTCAGATATCAGGGATTCAGGTTGTAATAAATATTCTTTTGGTCCTGTGACAATTTCCAGGAATATTGCCAGGATCCATTCAGCCCAGGATTATTTGTTTTAGGAGATGGTTCAATCCTAAAAGGAATAGATGAACACATTAGAAGCTGGGTCCAAACTATTTCTATGATAGACAGACAGATTCTTCTAAGAGGTGGGAGGAATGAGGATGTGCCTTCAATCCAAGAGTGGGCAGCGTTTGAAAAAAGGTCAAATAAACGGTTTGCAAGATTGAATGTCAGCATTAGAAAATGGGGAAAGTACTTAAGCTTTCTGGAGGGTTCCTAAGAAGCAATGTTCTGTGGAGAGTTGTATATTATGTATAATGTGTTATCACTTTTATATATTTCTTTGGTGGACAGTTTGTTGCCTAGCTTATGGTTATTATTTCATCTTGTCTTAAATTTTGTGGGAGGAAGTGTCCCTGCGTTGACAAACAAGGCCTACTGCATATGTGGTGATGATGACTTAGGAAGGGAGAGGGGGGTGTTTATGTTGTGTTGTTAATCGTAAAAAAAAGTTGCAATAAACACACAAGGCCACACGTGAAAGTAACATGGTAACACACAGAAGTTTGACATTGTGGAACAAATTATTCACTCATTGGCTGCCATAATAATGTTGCCGTGTCTCTCCTCCCATCATCCAATCCTCCTCCTCCCCGTGCTCCTCAGGCCTGTCATGGCTGTCAGAAGGTGTTCGAGGAGGCAGAGAGGAAGCACCACTGCCGGTCATGTGGCGAGGGTTTCTGCCATCCCTGCTCCAGCCACAGGATGCCGGTGCCAGAACGAGGTTGGGGCAGTGGGCCCGTCCGGGTGTGTAAGGCCTGCTACCGACAGGGAGGGCCAGCTGACACTAACAGCCAGGGTAAGACACTTCCAACCAATTAGTGAACTTCACCCCGGCAGTGTATGTTCAATTTTAATAAAGCAAAAAGTATTGACAGATCATTTTACATTATATGGATTAATACAGAATAGGGTAAATGAACATGAAGGCCATGCTGCCCTTAAGCATTTCATTTGCTAGCATCTTTTTTTCCTTCTCATTTGTAATTTCAGAACTTAACTCCAACTAGATTTATTGTAAAATGTGTAGTTATATAGTCAGGTGTCTGAATTCTGCATCCTCTGGGATATGGGATACTGAATCCAGACTGTGTGGTAGGAAGACAAAAGGATTCATTGTTTTAAATACTGATTGGGTCTGCAACATATAACATGTTTATATTGCTGCCTTTGCGTTCTGTACGTCTGTGTCTTTCAGTCTCTCACACAAATAAACACCTCTTTTCTTTAGTGTGCAAGGTGGAGCCTCGTGGTCTGATAGCTCGCAGGGTGACGGAGGTGGCCCAGTCCACACTGGACATGGTCACCACAGCTGTGGACTACCCTCTCTGTGAGTGCAGCTGCGTTTTACCGTTACACATTCAGTCGGTGCACTGCAGCTGGTTGCACATTATCTCTTGGTCAGATTTGACTAGTCGGATGATTGTTTAACATGATTCTAATTACAGTACAGAAATGTTATTTGTAGTATTTGTCAAAATAAAATAAAATGTCTGTTAGATAAACTAAAGTGGGAGTGATCTGCAACATTGTGGAGGGGAGAGAAATCCTGCCAACACATGGCTGTGCTTAAGATTGAAGATAGAACTATGATGCAATAAAGCCCAAATTTGTACTGATAACATTAAATATTTGACTCTAAATTCTGGCTAATGAGGGGGGCATACTGAACCCCTGGGCCACTTTGACTTGATGGCTAAACTACAAGAAATATGTGTCATAAATACACACCTGATGGTCTAGAAGCTATCCATCCATCTGAGATATTTAGTGGATGTTTGGAGATTCACACCATAAACAATAATAAAGCTTCAGATACTGTAAAGAGGTTTACATCAGTGTATGTAATATTATTTCACAGTATGTTCTGTTCAGATATGGATATTTAAGCTCTAATGAAAACCATATACAATCCCTGCCGAAAATATAGAATTAAATATTTTCTGTTCAATCCGCTACCCTCAGGTTTTGTGAAAGAAGTGGCTCGGCCAGACTACTGGGTGCCAGACCAGGACATCACCCAGTGCCACCAGTGTTCCAAAATCTTCACTTCGGCCATGTCCAAGCACCACTGCAGGGCCTGTGGACAGGGTGTGTGCGGTCCCTGCTCCACACACATCCGGCCTGTGCCCTCCCGAGGCTGGGACCACCCAGTCAGAGTGTGCGACGGCTGCCACGCCCGAACCGACAGTCTGTGAGCCTTTTTAACCAGGAGAACTTCTCAAAGTGCACATAGGCTTCCTCAGAGGATCCACAAAAACACTGAATCCTGGAACTGCTGCTCAAAGAGAACAAGGTGGATTGATTATACAGCACTAAATGGCAGAACTAGAATCAGCCTGGCTTTTGCGTGAAAAGACAGGCTGCTTTGAAGCTTAAAATGGTCATCACCAAGGCACTAGGGCTGGTGTTTTTATCAGTGCTGACCAAGGTTTAGCTTCCCATCTGATATGCTTTTCTTGAGTAACTGATTCTGCAGCAGTTATGAGGTAAAACTCAACATAGATCACCTTCACCACAGCCCCACTGGAGCAGTGAAACTGCTACAAAACCAACTGGAAAAATGGAAAGCTGGATGTGAGTTTAACTGACTTTGGAAAATGAAGACACAACTCCTCTCAGTCCTCGTTATAACTGCAAAGCTGCACTCAGGTGTAGTCTTCCTTGTTTGTTCATTTATGTTTTTGCACAGCCACGCAGCACTCAATTCTCAATTTAAACAACTTGTTAGCTAAAATGACAGGAGAAGTTAAAAGGAGACATGGGTAATAGTGGAAGTTAATTTTTTTTTTTTTTCAAACGTTTTTAACCTCTCTGTTTTAAAGAGTATCAAGTCATCTCAACAGCTTACATTGTCTCTGCCAAGCCCTCCAAAAAAGTAGCGACTGCGTGAAGTGATTTTTGTTTTTATCCGCTTCATAACCGTCTTCTGAACCTCTAGAAATTATGGACAAAAGGGTAAACACAAAGCAGTTTAGACTTTTGGGGAAAAAGCTACTGTGTGTGTGTGTGTGTGCCTCTGCACAGAAAGGAGCTACAGCAATTTGTGCCTTCATGGGAATCTGGATTCTCATTTCTAGTATAGCCCCTGATGTTAGTTTTTTAGGGATTACTCCATATGTGCAAGGATTAATGAGATTAAATGTGCCTAATTACAGAGCATCTAACTCGTACAGTTGTATCTACAGTATGGTGAAATGGATAGGAAAAGAAAATCTGTAGCAACACAATATAGACATTCCCATGTATGGAAATACCTGTGTACTTATGTAGATTTACCGTTCTGACGTTATTATAAATCCACTGATTCTTCAGAAAGCTCTCTTAATATAATGAATACAACTGCACTAGACTGGACCGTTGAGCTGTTTTGATATTTTAAAGGCACGTGTCAGAAAATTACACTTTCTGTCAAAGGAGAGTTTCTCTGTGTAACATACCGGAGACATTAATGGCATTTTCTCTGTTCAGAAATAATCAGTTACATTTTAAACACGTTTTCCAGTGAAATCTAGCAATTGACAATCTTTTTTTTTTTCTTTCATTAATCAGGCTGGTCCAAATAAAGACAACAAAAAAGATTTTGTGTCTCTACAGATGTCTTAAGGCCCTTATTGTCTTCTAATCTCTCCCTAATAACTATTCATGCTTTATTTGCATGAAGGGTAATAACAATCAAATAATGAATAATCTGCTAAATAATCCAAAACGATATCTGATGGTGAGGCTGAAATCTGCAGATATTGGGGTTTCTGGTTTTTCACCCAGCCGGAGACCGACTTGGGGCTTAATTAATACAATTTAGATTTTATTTTTATTTTAGCCCATGTTGGGAAATGTACTACTCTGATATGTTTATATTTAGAGCAGGAGAGTAAAATCTTTTGCTTGTCTTTTATGTGTCCTAATCAACAGTATCGCCGTTTTGCTTACCCTTTTAAACAGATTATTAACATCAGGGAGTAGCTGATTCTATGCAGTTTGGTAAAACGGGACTGTAAGAAGTTGTTTTTGTTTAATCCTGTTTTCCCAGTACTCATAAAACCGTGTATTAGCAGTGTCTATTTCATTTGAGTTTGGTGGCTTTGGATGATAAAGATGATCATATTAGCAGCGCTCTTTTTCCTTTGCAGTAGCACTAAATACATTCCCATCATTGTCTTGTAATCAGAGATTAAAACGTTGAGCCAAATTTTACTTGGAGTGCTATATATGTTTTATTTACATCTTTTTCTTCTACTGGCATGAAGGCCATATGTGTTGTTTCATCAAATGATAGCTACTTTCATGAGATCCCATTCTTTCTTTTTTGAAATACAGCTGCTCTCATCTCATCTTCATTTATTGATTATATCCAGTCCATTAAGTAATTCTCTCCTTCATTTGTCTCCCTCAGAAGACATGAGATTGACCTCTTGCTGATTTATCCAGAGAAACACCAATAAGGAAGCTATTTACAGTGTAACAGGTGACGGGTACATACAGACCTGGGTTTCCATATAGTTTCTCTCTCTCTTACAACCTCTAGTTCAAAGTTAACTGAGGTTCATGGTCCCTGATGTCCGGTGCCCTAATGGATCGCTGACTAATATCCATGAAGCAGCGCTCATTTCCGTCACAAACCAATTATACAAGCCTAAATTGCCTCACAGACTATCTGTGGTGTTAGTGTGGCGGCAACAGACAGTTCAGGGCCAGGAATATCTGTATATGGACTGTGTAGTCGAATGTTTGTGTTACAGCGCACAAAACAGTAAATAGGGTTTTAAATGATGGATGTAACATTATAAGCTCGAGGTAAATAAACATAAAATGATGCTGTTGTGAAAATAAAGACACATTGGCTCTGAGGTGATCATCAGCTGTAGATCACACTCTTTTTTTTTATTTACTTCTACAGCACATATCTCTTCCACTGCAGCCAGACTTTAAAGTTATCATGCTGTAAAAGTGATTTAGTGTGAATCTAGTTAAAAGGAAACACACATAAGTTTAGTAAAAAGGTTGTTCTGGTGTTGGTGTGGACAGGCAGAGGTTTTGACTGAGGGACTCTGCTGCCGCGACAGATGAATTGCATTGCCCCATGTGTCTTCACTGTTATTACTCTGTGTGGACCTCCAAACCGCCATCATGAAAAAAATAGTTCTTAGCAAGACACATTCAGTCAGTGATGACAAAATGCCCAGGTTCTTCAGTTTTGTCTAACGGCCTCTGTACAGCATCTGGCATCGGAGTGTGGGTACTGGAACAGGTGCAAACTAGCACATGATGGGATTGTTATGTGATTACTATCTGCAGTGTTCACCAGAACAGTGTCCTTCAGTGTGAAACAGTGTTTTGTCACGCAATGTAATGCCTTGAGTCAGTTTTGTGTAAGAGCCATTGAGCAGTCTGTAAAGGTTACAGTTCAGTGCAAGTCTTCAGACATGCGCAGTTAAACAAAGACCTTACAAGAATCTAAGCCTATTGGCTTGAGCAGATCTGGTGGGATCTGTTTTAAGTTGCAGCAGCATAAAATAGGTTGTTGGGCCCATGTTGTGATGCTCTATTTCTACACAGGGGGGCACTAGAGGGACAGACATTTTGTAGCTGCTCCATAGTAAATTTTACATGAGACCACCCACTGGTAACTGCCCTGAGTGAGTCCCAGCAGGGGATTTTAATATAAAGCTGCCCTATTTGGATGTCAGAAATTAGCATTTTCTCTGCCACTAAGTTATTCATGTTTTAAGAAGCTCAAACTGTTCTTCCTACCCAGAGCTGATTTTACAAATATGGTGCAGAGGAATGTGATGAATTGAAAGGAAGGTACTGTTGTAGTCCACAGTGGTTTAGCACGGGTCACATGGAAAGCAAGTGGAGGTGACTGGGTCTATATATGATTGCATACATGTATGGTTTTCAGAGATGATGTCACAAGTCATAATGCATCATCACCACTTAGAAGAGCTTTACATGATTACCTAAGCATAGAGTTGTATTATTACAGCGTAATCAGAGCCCTGCTAACTGTAGCATAATAATAAAGATGCCATTTAAAAGAATAACGTAAATATTGGGATTTACTCATATTATTGACAATGTGCCATCCATGGAATGACAACAGTGGGTGATTAAGCTTGTGACTAACTCTATGACATGCTTTTCAAGACTTGTCATCTTCGTCTCCTTTTAGGCTCATTTGGCATAACACAGGATACAGGAAAGCCCCCTCTGTTTCTGTGGCATAGTAAATAGACAATTTACATCACTGCTTGGATGATTTGAGCAGAGCAAACAATGGGTGAGTTAGAGCAGACTGGCTCTGGCCCTCTCTGGCACCCAGCGCTGATGAGTGACAGCTGCTGGCAGGGGGTGACACTGTGTGTGTGTGCGTGTGTGTGCGCGTGCCTGAGTGCGTGCGTCTGGACTGCAGTTCTGGCAAAGTTTCACCTTCCCAGTCCATAACCACACCAAACCTTAACTAACTATCTGTAATAATAGATAAATAGATAATTTCAACTTTAAACCTAAATATAACCATCTCAAGTGTTATACCTAAAAGTCTCCTAATAACTCCAGAGCCATTTCTGCCCACAACTCTGATGGGATCCATCATTTTGCAATGGGTCTACATGTCATAAGAGACAACATTGGTGCCAAAATGTTGGTGCAAATGCCAAAGACGGGCACACTTATTAGGATTCTGTGTGTGTCTGTATGCAGACGGTGTGTATGTGCCTTGGCCATGGCACTCGAGGTTGCTTCAAACCCTGAGGGCCAAAGTCAGTATTTCATGACGTTTGCATATTTCTACACACACACACACACACACGTGTCATGGCTTGTTTGCTCACTACACAAGCATTAACATGGATCACTGCTTCACTTCGTCATCCTTAAAACATTTACGTTACTGCCCCTGTCATGCTGTTGGAACCAGCTGTGTATTAAACAATAGGCAAGCTGCTGCACTAATCAATAGCAAACACATGCAATTAATCAATGTAATTACTTCCTCCTAGCTTCAAGACCTGCAAGGTCACATTGCCAACACTTTATCCAATGTAATTAGTAGTATTAGATAGTGTGTGTATGCATGATGTGTGTGTGTGTGTGTGTGTCTGCATGAGACAGAGAGAGAGTGATTGAGTAAAAGAAGTCTTGAAAGAATTTCTCATACGTCAGGAAATATCAGCAGATCTCAGGGTGACTGTATAGTATATACTGTATACAATGCAGAGTAAATACTGTATGTGTGTGTGTATGTACCTTTGTGTGATGAAGTAGCAATAAGAAGGATAAATGAGTGTGCATGTAGCATTATCCAGTGCTGATCTGACAATCTAGGCACGGCCCATTAGGCTACACAACACCATTACTGAGTCTACGCTCTCTCTCTCACACACACACACACACACACACACACACACACACACACACACAGCTCCTCCTTCCTTTCCATCTCTATTTTATTGCATACACATATACCACAGTGATGCAAAGAGTTGAAAGGGTCAACAACCTTCATTTTGCAACATCCACTAAAAGCAGTGACGAGAGAGAGGGTGGGGGAGAGAGCATTAATTGGAAGTAAAACAACATAGCCCGTGGTTATGTTTTCCATCTACACACACAAGAGTGCTGCCTGTCTTCTACTATTAGTTGCAATGAGTCACACCACACAAAACTCACACTTGTATGATTAGCTTGAAGAGATCTCTTCAGAATGATGATAAAATGAGACAAAACATACATAAAGAATGGGGGACAGCCTCCAACACACACACGTTTGTACTACGTGCCTTGAGAATCCATTAGGATGATATTGTATTTTCAGATCTTGTCATGTCTTCTGGCACTTTAATTTTTACACATAGGCGGCAGTTTTTGCCGACTAAGGCACTTTTGAGCTGTTATAAATTACCCTTTCACCGTGTATCCATGGCAACCAAGCAGCTCATCTCTTATGTAGGCTGTTGCAACCAGCTTTACTATACTGTATGATGCACAGTGCTCAGGTAGGTGGAGGCACTGTTGTACAGCATTGAATTGAGCAGCAAGGTGTTTCATTTGTTTGTGTGTGTAAAATAGTTAGTTATAATAACAATGAGTTAGTTATTATAGTTAGTTTAATTAATATCACTAGACGTAGCTCACATTTTATAAGAGGTAGTTAAATTAAGATGATATGTTGTCATCCAGAATTTGTAGATCAACCATGCCACATTAAAAGTATAATAATATGTGGATGAACTGATGATGGACATGTAATACAGCTAGCCTCACTGTTACAGTTTTTCTCAGTTGCTCAAGCACATTTGCTAAAACACTTTTCAGTTTTCAAAACTTACAATTGACAACTGTGTCAAAGAAACTGAGAAAAAGAGTCATTAAAAAAACAACAAAGACAGATCCAATCAAAGAACCTACATAACACAATCCAATTTGGCCACATTAACACTGACTTTGATTTAACTTTCAAACAGCATGATGCATTACATGCGTGCATGACATTAACATGCAACACTAACAGTCTTTCCAGTGGAGTTTTACAAGCTCCGCTGATCGACCCTTTTTTACTCCTCGGCAACACACACTCACTGACTATCCTCAGATCAGAGGACAATGGCCGGGTGAGAGTTACTGCTACCACCACTCAAGAGCTCAGTGTGCATGTGTGTGCATCAGCCCCTTTTCTCACGGCCCTTAAGAAGAAAAGAGCCCTTGTCTCGTTCCATTAGTGACCTGAGCTTTAGCCACAGCACCGCTCAGCCTGGCTAACTGCAGGACAACGATGGTTAGACAGCAGTTACATCCAGGAGCTGGAGGGCGGGGCAGATTTTTCTGAGAGGAGAGAGCCAGGGCACAGACGAATGAAGAGGAAGAAGGTGTCATACAAATATGATAAGATTATGAAGGGTCAGCTGTTTCAATACGTTAAGTGCTATTCGTTTTCTAGGCCGGACATATTGACTTTCTCCCAAAAAAACACAACTTTCTTACACCTCCGGTTTTTTTTCCACATTAAACAAACAAGATATAAAGGGTTGATTAGTGATTTTTCGAGGTGGCTAGCCTGTCTTTATGCAAGACTAAGCTCACCATCTCCTGGCTAACGTAGAACTGTTATTGTTTCAGAGGAAATAATTCACTCAACGGCTGGCTGGAAACAAATACAAAAAGTAACAAAAGTCAGATCAATAACAAGAAACAGCAGCTGAGATCCTGGGAGGCAGAAATGGAAAGAAATGAAGGTGAGAGTAAAGGATAGAGAGACAAATTGAAAGAGTAAAATGGTCATAAAAGGAATGATGGAAAGAGAAAGATGGAAAAGACAAGATATATGAAAAACAATATTGGGTGTTTGTGGAAAAACTAAAAAGCCACCACCTAGAAAACATGAGCAGGAGTAATATTATATTACTTTATTTATCTTTTGTACAATGTAATTACAATACAAATATGTAGGTTTAAATACAAAAATTCTGTAAATAAAGATTAAAAATAAATTCCACTGGTTGCTTTGTTACCATCACTAAACTATGGTTTTACAATCAAGTTTATGAGGTCATTTAGTCTGCTTTAACGCTGAACACAATTAACCTACATTTATAATTTGGAGGGCGTGCAAACAAGAGTCGAGGGCAAAAATATATTTTCAAAGAAGTGAAAGCATTGATTTCATAAGTGAATCAGTCATGTCTTGTCAAAAGAGGAAAATAGAGGAAAGAAATATTGATTCGTCCAAAAACAAAGGACCAAACCCTGGAAGGACTCGAGATGGTATAAATTAGGCAGGTGGCACATACATTTAAGTTCTCTGAGAAGGCAGTCTATCAGACGGGATCGCTGCCACAGCAAGATACTCAGTAAACTAATTAAACTTCGGGGAGTTAATGAGCAGAAAACCAAATCAGTGGCAGTCCATATCCATACAATTCAATTGCCAAGGAACATAACATGGGCGTCTCTGGTCACATTACAGTTTTTATATAACATACAAAAACCACCTGTTCACCACACATCACATGGAAATGTCCTCTATAAAGACCACTTCTTTGCAATGTTGCATCTTTTTGAATAGACCTGAACTTTTATGACTTATGCCAGAAACTGAAAGTTAAAACACAGAAAGCTTTGTTGACATTATTGAAGTTTTAACTACATAGGGAGTCGCACATACTTAGAAACAATCTTGCTTATGAGACTGTAATTATATAATAAGCAACTTCTTTTTTTAAATATGATCCAAAGTTTTTATAAAGTTTAAGGAGTTGAGACACATGATGCTGAAATGGAAGTGGCTTGACCTTGAGACAAAAAGATGCAAAAACGGCAGACAGTGCTCTGGTTGTCAGCTACGTGATGAATGTGTCTTTGTTCTCAATATTTTCACACACTCTGTCTTTCACTCTTACCTCTTTTTTTCCATATAATCTTCCTCTCTTCAGACTTCCTCTGTCTCATATTTTAAAGGCATAGCTCCATTCTCTCCTTCAGTCTCTCACATACCGGTCATCCTTCCTTATTTACTCTAGAAATCTATTCTTCTGCTGTTCTATATTTACTCTTCCTGCTAATCTGTCAATCAAATGTCCTTAATAATTCTGGATCAGAAATTTACACTTTATTTCTCTCAGTTCTTTAATTTGCCACGCCTCGGTCTATCTGCTCAAGTTCACCTTCTCTTTTCACCTCTGATCATCACTGTCAAAATCAACTAATACTGCATCTGAGGCAGTAGTACATAGGTGAACACACAATCATACTGTACGTGATGAGACTATACCCTGTGTTTGAACATATTAAAAGATTATGAATGTTGCACAGTGTTGTAGAGTGTTTTTTGTTTCCACTGAGTTGTTAAAGTTCCTTGGGTTTGTCTGGAGAAGGTGGAGTCCAAAGGACTGCTGTGCTGTATTGTCCAGAGTGTCAGTGTGCTGGATATCCTGAAGTGATTTTTCATGTCCCAGTAACCCTTGAAGGTAGATTTTAACAACAAAAATGGGCTACAGAGCCAAAGTGAAGCCATATTGACTCATCTGGCCTCACCGGCAGAGGAACGTATACACGTGAGGGCTAACAGGTCGAAGAAACATGCCACTATATACACTTACTGTCTCACATGTCGCACAACACACTGCTTTACTATCAGCCCTGGCAATTTGGTTCCTGTTTCATGACTCAGTTTCCCACAGTTCTGTCTGTCTACTGATGTCCAATCATAAATGTTACCTGTAGTTTCTCTCATCAACAAAAACAATATATAGGGGATAAAAAAAGTATACACTCCTGAAACACTGCTTTAAAAAAATGATTTTTAAGTATATATATATAACTTGTTAAAATAAAAATGAAATACAATAAATAAAATACTTTTGGCCATAAATCTCTACAATTAGTCAGTAAGTCCTTTTGAGTGGGTAGGGTTGGGTCTTACATCATTGGCTAGTCCTTTCAGGTGTCCAAACTTTTGCTGTGCTTGGCTAAGATCAGCATCAGTCTGATCATCAGTCAAGAAATTGCTTCTCTGCTTCTCTGCATGTCTTGTGATGTAGCCGCTAAATTCTCCACCAGAAATAAAACACCTCACGGGTTTGGAATGCATCTTAGTGGAGTCCCCTTTTAAAGAAAGAAACCACTGAGCTGTGTCCCCCGCTACAATGTCCTCAAGGGGGCACATACAGTACATCCAGGGACTTGCAGCAGGAAAAGTAAAGCCAGAGTGGAGAAGTGAAAGCAAGGAAGAGAGGTGGGTAGCGGGTGGAGTGGAAAGGATTTAGTCCATCAAGTCTAGTGAGCTAGAGACCTGATCCTCCTATGGCAGCCCAGCAATCTGCAACTTTCCTCCCAAGCTCTCGTGGGAATGGCAAGAAAACAATTGAGATCACTGACTCCTATGAGAGCTGAGAGTTGCTAGGCTGCCACAGGTCAGATGCTAGGCTAACTTTAAGGACCTGCCTCCTGTCCTAAGCAGAGATACTGGAGTTAGCGCCCGGCTTTCTTAGGCTTTAACTCCAGCGCTAGAGCTACAGCTTTCAGAGGCCAACTTTGGCTTAAAGCTCAATCTCAAAGGTCTTTTGAAGATTGTTGGAAAATGGGTTTGCTGCTGCAGCTGGTGCCTTATTCCCAGGCTGCTGAGGTGCAGGTTTGGCCTCCAGTGCTGCCCACTTGGCCTCAAACCGATCATCGTCTTGGGAATCGCTGACTGCCGGAGCTGTTAGCTGGCTGCCCTCTGGCGGCCAGCTGCTACTGCTGCCTCCATTCCCACCACTGTTAGAGGTCCCATTCTGAAGATCCATCATGCCGCTGCTGTGCGGTGGCAGTCCATTAATGGCTGTTGATAGTGGTGGAGTGGAAGAGAATGGCGGTGTAGAAAACCCTCCAGTGTGGCCGACTGCACCAGGTGCTCCTGGGTAAGAATGGGGCTGCCCGACTGTCCCGAGTACCCCCACTTTGTGTCCCCCTCCTGCCGAGCCCATGGCTACACCTGCACCGGATGAGCCTGTAGCGGTGCAGAAGACATTAGCCACCATTTGTGATGGTGTGATGCCAACCACAGGAACGCTGGCATTGGGATAGGTCATACTGCTGGCCAGGCCTGGCATATAGGTCTGCATGGGCATGAATGCTGGTTGGACAGGCTGGCTGGCGAACATTCCCACAGGGGCTGGAGTGGCATCAAAAGCCAAGGGGAAGGGCTGCATAGAGCTTGGAAGGGAGCCTGGGTGCCCGGGGAGGGAGGGCTGGATCATGGGGGCCCCAGACATGCTTGGACCGGACATTGTAGGAATGGACATAGAAGGTAGAGACATAGGGGGGCCTGACACTGGAGGGCCTGGTATTAGAGGAACTGATGATATAGACATGGGTGCGAGGGGCATCGGGGCCTGACCTGAGAGAGCAGAGGGGCCCGAGATGAGAGGTTTAGAGATGGTGCCAAGGGACATAGGGACAGTGGACACTGGGGCAGCTGCCTGACTGGACATCTGCTGACTCGACATGGAGGGTGGTCCAGGGATGATGGGGATGGTGGGGCCTGGGGGCGTGGTTTGTTGAGCCTTGACAGCCTTGGAGACCTCCTCCAGCCATCTTTCAGCCTCGGAGGGTGTGCGTCTGTGTCCACTCTGCATCTGCATCACCACGGAAACCGGGGGAGGAGAGTGTAGTGGAGGATCTGGCTGCACCCAGGAAGATGGGGCTAGAGGGATAAAGTTAAAGATTTAGAATAAGTGTAATCATTTCCTCAGTTCAGAGGGTGTACAATTTAAAAATGATGCAGTCTTTCTTACCCTGTATTGGTGCAGGTGGTGGAGGCAGTATAGGGGGCACAGTGCAGGTTGGAGGGCCATTTGCAGACAAAGAGGGGTTGGAGAAGAGCTCTTCCGATGGCTTGGTGAAGGAGTTGTTGATCTGGCAACACAGGGCATTTATACCACTGTCTCCCTCACCGGGCAACCCCATTTCCATCTCTAGTACTAGCAAGAAAGCAACACACAGACGGGAGGCGAGGAGGGGAGGACAGGGAGAAAGACAATAGGCATAAGGAAGATAATGAAAAGAAGAGGTAGAATGGGAGAAGATGAGGAGTGAGTAGAGACACAAACAAACAAAAAGAGGGACAAATAATATTTATTCATTTGTTCTTTCTAACAGACCCAGCTAGCATCAAACACAGAAACTGGAGCAGATGAAGACTTTGATGCTGGCTGCTAGTGACCTAAAAAGCCTCAAACACACTATTCTCAAGACAAACATGGCATTGTGCTAATCAGGATCTTCTTACATAATATAAAAAGGTTCAAACTGAGTCACAAAAATGTTTACAAGTCAAGCAGAACTGTGTGAACTACCCTACCGTATGTAGGGTCTATACATGTACAATTGTCAAAAACACTTGAGAAAGAGGAGTTTGATAACATCTTTGACACTGTGGTAAAGTTCAATAACACACACATGAAGAAGAATGAATGAGGAGTGGGATTAAAGTGAAGTAAATGCATGTTTACCACAGATGGGCCCATTGTGAGTCAAAACTCAAACCTTTGTGCTCTGCCTCTTCTAATAAATGTATATCTCTCTCTGAGTGCATTGTATAGCTTTAGGCCTTGAATTACATTGGAGGGTGCAGAGGGCGCTGGAGGCATGTGTACAATCTCCCATTAAAGATTTCTCTGTGCTTTGTTCTGCAAAGACCGACCCTGCGGTGTGCGTCAGTTTCCCACAGAGTTCAGAAGCACCCTTCACATGTGTGTCTATATGTGTATGTGCATTTCTCTCAGTGCAGTGGCAGGTTTGAGGGCTGGCAGAAGGCTTGCTGAAGGCTAACCAGGACAGCTGATTGACCGCATAGATCAATACACACATTGTTCAGAGAGTCACAAGGGAGCACGGAGGCAGTGGAATTGGCTGCTACCGCTTAGTGTGTGCATCTTGTCTATGAGATAGAACGGTAGAGAGAGAGAGAGAGAGAGAGAGAGAGAGAGAGAGAGAGAGAGAGAGAGAGAGAGAGAGAGAGATCACGGTGCACACAGAATTCAAACTGCATCAAATTCACCACCACTGGATATATACACTTACTATCATTGTAAAATAAGAGACGGAAAAGAAAGGGGCAAATACAAGAAATGCAGTGAGAGGGGGAATTCAATGTTGTGGTTTAGTATTCCAGTCAGAGGAGTCCCCCAGTCAACTCTCTCATCTCTCCTAATGACTATAATCAGCCTTGCTACTGAGCACTCTGATCCTGTGGCACCACACTGAGTGGGTGTGTCTATGTGTGTGCCTTCTTGTGTATGTGTACACATCAACCTGTGAGGGGTTAGTCAGTTACTATTAATTGTCCTTAGTAAAAAGCCAAAGGCTTTCATTGGCCCAGTCATCAGCACTGGCGCTAATAGAAATAATAACAGCACTTCACATAACTGCTTTTTATCTTGTCCTACACTCAATTGAAGGCAAGCATCAGGATTAAACTAAAGATTACACCTTGTCTGCTTGAAAACACAACTATAAATGCATCTGAGATTAGCCAAAGGTTTATTCTGTAATATGATTGCTCAGATCTCTTCAGACAGGGGTCAGTGATGCCAAACTGAAGCCAAATGGAAAACTTAATTATGCTCCAATCTGCAAACAACTATGACGCAAGTAGAACACAGATCCCATGTGTGCTTTCTGTTTGTGTGTAGAGGCAGTAGTAATGTTCCCTGACTTCTCTGAAATACCAACAAGCAATGTGGGGAATTGAGTTTGCAAAATCCTTCTTTAAAAAATTGTGTGGTTACTTAGGAGGCATTTTTGATACCAAGTTAAATGTGGATGTATCACCAGTAGAAATAAAATCGACGCTAATGAAGTTAATTGATGGCATGACCTAATATTAGCCTTTTCCCACCGACAAGCTGATATCATCACTGATGTGGGATGATCTTTCTTCAACTGCTTTAATGATGTCAGTCTGGCAACCTGTCTGTGAAATTGAGGCACCTAACCCAACACCCATCCATCCATTGTCAACCGCTTATCCTGCGTACAGGGTCGCGGGGGGCTGGAGCCAATCCCAGCTGACATCGGGCAAAAGGTGCCTAACCCAACAGTACATTTTTAAATTGTCATCCCATAATGGTCTAAATGGTGTTCAATTGTTTTTCCACTAGAAATAAACTTGGAATGAAATTTAAGGAAACACTTGGCATTTTGGGGCAAATGTAAACAAAACTAATACTGATGCAAAATGTGACCCATTTCCTCTCAGAGCCTGTATATAAATGATTGGGGTGTGGAGGCGAGCTGAACCATGTAATTCCAAGCAACTCCCTCCTTTCTTTTGACCCTCCCCTAGACTAAGAAAAAAACTACAACACACTCCCTTCAATATGTAACAGTGATAAGTTGCTACAATTTGCTTCAGCAATAATATCTAAAAGTGCATGAAGAAGTTAATATGGTGCACCTTGACATATTTATGGAACAATACATTCCAAGTAACAGGTTGAATTAGCAATCGATAAATTATGGCAAACATAGGAAAATGTTGCATCCTGTTGATCAGCAAAAAATAAATAAAAATACACCACTCCCCTTTTCTGACCGCCACTCCCCCAACTATCATTTTCATACAGTACCTAACCCCAGAAGGACCCTCTAAGTAAACAGAAGTTACTGGGGTCAGAAGGTCAGCAGGTCCCTTCATCAGTCTAACTTCAAGACAATCTCAACTCACCAGGGTTCTTAGCTTGGAAGTCGGTCTTGCGTTGCAATGTGGATGGCAGGTCGTTGAGGCGGAGTGACAGCTGCCTCTTGAAGGGAGAGTTCTTCCCGCTGAGGGCCGGGAATCCCCGGAACGAGCCTTGACGCACCAGCTGCTCAATAGGCGCATGGCGGCGAGGGATGGCGTGAGGCCCGCCCGGTTCTGGTCGCTCCATGGGGGACGCCGCCCCCTCGGGTGGGGAGGCAGTGCCAGGGGGGAGGGTTGGGACTGCAGACGGTTGATCTGTAGGAGTAAGTGTGTTTGGTCACTTCTGTTGGACACCTATTACTACTAAACTATTGGTGGTCTACTAATAAGTGCCTTCTTGCTATGTGCTTGGCTTTCCAACTTTTCCAACTGTATTAGCAGTTCTTCAAAGACACATCTGAGTATGTGTGCACATTTTAAAACATCCTCCTACCTTTCTTCTTGTCTTGCAGCTTCTCATCTCGCTCACTGCTGCTGCCCTGCTGGCTGCAGGAAGAGTTGATGCGGAAGGAGCCCTCACGCACAAATGAGGTGCGACTGGCGTCAAAAGAAGCCGTCACACCGCACTCCTTCTCCCTGCGCTGCTTCCTCTCCAGACAGGCAGCAAAGGCACAGCCAACTGCATGGCTTAGTCTCTCCCCCTGGTGGAGCAGAAATCAAGAAATGTAACAAACAGTTTAAAGGTCAGATGTACACTTTATCTGGATTGATCCTTTTTAGACCAACGTAAAACAGAATTAGGGCTTGCACACTTCAGCTACATTTTTTTTTTTTAAACAGATGTTTTTTAATGTTTATATAATTGTTGGTCATGACAACCTTGACCCAAATGAAGTTCATACAGCTGTCACAGGGAAGATCGGATTAGGGTGCAATTATCAACCTCAAATCTTGTCTGTTGTCAAACGTCAACATGAGTTCATGCTCCGTGGAACTGAATGCAACTAACAGGGACAGTTCAGTTTAAGATGAGCAGATAGCGATATTAGAAGTGTGGTGGAAAAAGAGACAGACAGAGATGGACAGATAACTCCACAGGCTTCTGTCTAATCCCCTCTCCTAATCCCACAGGTCTGTGCTGCACTCTCTTCCGTCCACATTAATAATCCAACTCACGATCTACAATGATGACACCACCATGGGGTTGAAAGAACAATGCATTATGACGGCAATGGTTTTATTTGCAGTTGTCTTTAAATCACAGCCTCCTCATACCAAGGTCAGTCAAATGGAAACACCAGAGGTTAGGAATCACATTAACTCACCTGCCTGTGTATGTGTATGTAATGACATTGGTGCTACAGAATGGGCTGATGTGTTCAAATCATACATGCCTGTTATTAATTCATCAATTAATTTCTGGTTAATATATATAACTGATTATAACTGGTTAATAGAATTAATAATTATCTAGAAAAATATTGGGATTTTGCTTGATAAATGATTAGTTGATAAACAAAATGTACTTTATTGTCAACTAATTAATTATCTTATCAACTCCTCACTTGATTTGATTACGCTTTATTAGCAGAATATTTAATTAAGACGTACAGTTTCACATTCAACAAAACAAATACTACATACATAGATTACAAAATCAGACATTGCGAATATGTTACTGCAGTGAATCAGTTTATTCTCTCCCTTTTACATTTAGTGCTTAATTTACACAGGAACACTGAGGTCTACTAAGAAGCCAAAATCTGAGTTATAATATCAGTTCAGACAAGCCCGTAGGACTCTAAATCTTCTGTTTGATGGCAAAAACTAATATTAAGGCTGTTTTTGAAACAAACCCACACACAAACCCACACACAAATTTAACATGTTGAGAAAATTGGTAAGCTTTAAGAGGTATGCAAGCTATGAGACAGAAAATCTCATTTGGCAATATAAGTGAAACCATACCTTTTGGGTTCTGTTCTGTTTCTGTAAGAAAACCAAATTCAAAGTCCCACTGTCACAATAATGTAAAAAACTAAAAATACAACCTTAGAACATAGCCTTAATATAATGTTGTTTTTCAGTAATCCTGTTTTTAGAAGCCCTAAACAAACACCATTACCCATAATCCCTAGACAGACCCAGGTAACTCTGACGAGTCAAGGAGTTAGTTCACATATGTCTATAATAACAGCATGACAGAGAGGACCAAACAGAAGGTTTATTGCCCCCTCACCGAGTCTTTGAGAGCCATGAAGCAGTGGCACATCCACCGTCTGGTAGTACCGTCTCGGCAGATGTAGGAGAAGGCCTTGTCATAGTTCCGATCAGGAGCGCAAAATGAAACCTTCTCTATGGTCTGGTCTACAATGAGGTCCTGAGAGAGAAACAGAGAAGAGGACACAGAGGGGTCAGAGAGAATCCGATTTGACAGTTCACACAACCTGTCAATCGAAATGTCCAAGTAGACTGTATGAAATCACATCTCACATGGTTTAGTCTTTCTAACAGCAGCTTAACTGTTGACAGACAGGTTTCAGTACTGAGCACACCAGCTTGTAGACTGGTTCGATACTTTACACATTTCCTTCAACCTCAGTTAACCCTATGAAACCCCTCTGACTCCAACCTATTTACACACCCACCAATGACAGAATAGACAGTGACTACAGACTAATGACACTGAACCCTCTTTTCATCTCTGAGATGTTTCCACCACTTGCCCTTCATTCTATAAAAGGGCTATTCAGCCTGTCTCTGTGTCTATAGTCACCATTGAGGAAACTCAAAGGGGCCCTTCTCTCTCTCTGTGTACATTAAGGGGCCCCCGGCTCACCTCTTTGACTCACCAAAAACAGAAAGAGAAGGAAAACAAGAGGCGAGAGGGAGAAGAAAGGGAAAGAGGTTTCACACACTTCCTTCCTCTCCAGTGTTGCTGTAAACAAAGTGAGGGGAGGATGAGGAGAGAGGCAGAAGGAGGATGAGGAGAAGAAAAGAAGGAGAAAGAGGTGGAAGAATAACAGTCCTTTCATTGTGGGCCAATTATTAGTGAATGAAGGGGGATGCTGGTACTGAGGTGAAAGGCTGAGCAGCGAGCAATGTGAGTATATGTCTTCATCACTGGCACAGTTGCCCTGTGTTACTGAAAATACATAACACTGCATGTATTGGTGTAGATACTCATGATTCTGAGGTGTATTTTGATGAAAAGTGCAAGAAGAAAGTGTGTGCGTTTGTGGGAAAAGGTGACTCACGTCACATCCCGACATCCCTGAAAGGAAGAATACCACACAGCAGCTTGTGACTCAGTGTCTCATCTAGTCTTTCTGCCTTGAGCACAAAAAATTACTTGACTGTTTCTCACTATTATGAAGGTCATGCAGAGCTGTGTCTCTCATGCACACACACACTCACAGACACACACTTATATACAGTACATTCAATGATTGTGGGAAAGCGTTTGAATAATGGTTGTGTGGGCGTTATGAGGCGTGCTTGCTGATTCATAGGTGGGGGTTGATCTGATGAAGAGGCACTGAAAGAAAGTATGAAGGAGGAGGCTGTAAAACAGTGATGAAATTTCTACAGTATAATAGACGTTAAACTTCCTTGTATGTACTGATGTTAAATTAATTTGGCTTCTGCTGTTTTCACAGAAAGGCCAAAGGCATTCATTTTAAAGTGCACATTCTGTACGGATGCAACAATGTTTTGACGGCAAAAACATGGCAACATTAATTGACTTTTAAAAAACAATTTTAACCCACCCAACATTAATCCATTTCGAAGTCTTTGCTATGTTGTACAGTGATACCAGTGGCTAGGAATTCATGTTAATTCTCATAATACTTTTCCATTTTTGTTTAAAATACACCTGACCATTGTAGAAGCTGGAGATGAATGTAAAATGGTATGTTGACACAATGGCAAAGGATAAAAAGAAGGTGTGACAGAAGTCACAACAATGTTGTGCAAGCACAGAAAACTCAATTCAGTCTTGCCTTCTGCTGGTTCTGCATGTTTTTTCACCTTAAAATTGATATTATATACTTGACTTACTTTATGACTCGCCTACCATGTCTGTCGCTCTCAATCCCATTCATTCTAAATGAAATTGTAAATCTATCAAAATAGCTCACAGGAAAACAGGAAATAAATAGTGCATTTGATGTGGGACTATTTTCACCTGCAGATTAATACAAATGTGGTGCTCTAGAGAGTATTAATGGCAGCAGGATGGTGTGTGTGGGATTGACTCAAAAGAAACTACAGTGTGTGTGTTCATCATAATAAAGGAACATGTCAGACAGTGCAACACCATGACTCATAGTTTTTGGATGTCAATGGAATTAAAGGCATTGGCTTAGTAGCATCAATTCAATGTTGGCTTTGGGATTTAGTGACAATAAGAAAAATATAAAATATCTCCGACCTAATCCTCTTAAATGTTTAGATGAGATCAAGGAAAGTAGGAGGGAGATTAAAGTGAAGGGAGAGAGGACTGGGACGGAGGGATAGTGAGAGGTGAGGTCATGTGGGTGGCCTCTAAACATAAGAAAAAAGGAAAGCAAGAGAAAGAGGCTGCTCCATTGGGCTCGCTCTCTCCTCTATTCTCTGCTGCTGCTCTTTATTCTCCTCGGCTTTCAATAGAACCACAGAGAGCTGCACTCCCTCTGTAGGAGGCCTCCCTAGCCACCAGACACTCCTCAAGTGCGTGCGTGTGTGTGTTTACTCGATCTTCCCTCCCCCACTAAGCACCTTTAGCAAGAATCCATGAGTCACATATGATAGCTCTGAAACACACACACACACACACACACACACACACACACACACACACACCCCATCAAGAGGTGGATGCACGGATCCTTCTGTTGTCAGCTTTAAGGTGGCGTCATCAGACTGGGACAGAAAGAGACTTTTGTTGGTGGTCTAAGATGGAAAATGTGTCTGTACTGAATCTGTACTGTATTGAGAATATAAAAGAAAAAAGATGCTGCGAAGATGGACGTGTGTTAGAGAGACAGCAAGCCAAGAGCATCAGAGGGCTTGAGGAGACATCTTTTGACCTGCTAACTTCTTGCTACCTGGTTGTCATCAGAGGTTAAGAATAAATGCATATAAAAAATACCTGTGTGGTGTGTATTGGACATGTCCTTGCTGCCAAGTGAGTGATGAAGTAGATAGAGGGAGGATGGAATGAGGAAACGGAGGCAACACAAAATTGTGTTTGCTTACCTTAGTTTTGTCATCCACCACCCTGAGTCCATCAGCTGAGACCCACAGTACGGCCTTGACTGTCTTTTTCCCACTCTGGGAAGACAAAAAAGTTGTAGAAGTAAAGTAAATAATTCAGATCTTAAGAGGCAAGTTAACAAGTTGCACGGTAAATGTGTTTCAATCGTTTGCACATTCACAAGGTGGTCCTTCATTCTTGCAAAGGTGGGATTAAAAAAAAGGTAGTAGCATGTACAGCCGCTTTTACTACTACTCATGGTTATGTAAAGCGATCATTACATCCTTACAGCAGATGAGGTAGTGGTGGGTTAAGAGGCGGGCAGAGGTAAAAACCGTGCCAGCTGGCATAAAGAATTATTTCTCCAGAGGAGGGCACCAGCCAGAGCTAATAACACACTCAGCATGGGACATGCTAAAAATACACTGGATAAAAAAGCAACAACTCCATGTGAGTGAAGAAGCGCATGTGTGGGTGTGTATGTGGACATGAGTCTGCATATGTGTGTCTCTGTGTCTAAGTAAGGGAAACAGAAAGCCAGATCACTGCAGGAAATGGCTTTGAACCACACAGCAAAGCAACAAGGAGCCTCAATTTTTGCATAATCCCATCAAGAGGAAGACAGAGGGTGTGAGAATAGAGGTGAAGAAACAGAGTGAGGGAAGGAAAAGAGTGGGAAAGGAGCTAAATGAGGTGGTGGAGTGGGGAAGATAACTTTGGAAGAAAGTTTTCAGCGTGAGAAACTGCAGAGATGCTGATATCGATGGAAGATGGGGAGAAATAGGGTTGATCCAGCAGGGAGTATCAAAAGAGAAAAACAAATTAAAGGAAATGGTGGTGAGAGGAGGGGGAGACAAGAGTGGATGCATGAAACATTTCTCCTATATGCATTAAACTGGCTGTGATTCAGGTAACTCTTTAAGATTTTCTGACAAAGTGCTGCCTTTTGTTGTATAAAGTTACATTCCTACTTGGGGAATCAGGATTAGTGTACACTGAATATAAAAATGTGCTGCTCTGCCATTTTGTTGGGCAACCTGTTATTTATATGAAAGTCAAGTTTAACTCCAGTTACATCAAAAGCAGAGCTTCTAACAGATGTGAAGACTGAAGAAAGTGACACAGACTTCGGTTTTCTTCACTGCAGTGTGTGTGTGTGGCTTTCTGACACTGACCAGCCTGTGTCACTCTGTTCACACGCTCCCTGTCTGAATCCAGCTTCCCCGAGGAGGCTAACTCTGTGTGTGTGTGTGTGTGTGTGTGTGTGTGTGTGTGTTTATATGTGTTTACATTAGCCTAGACCTCATTTTTTGTTCTATTAGGGCGTTGTGGGATCAGCCAGATAGAAAGACTGATAGCAAACAGACAGACAGATGTGGAATACGACTCAACAGGGAGGGAGATGAAAGTGGTAAAAAAAAAAAAGAAGCAAAAATAACAATACAGGAGAAGTAACTGTTCGGTATTGAACGTTTTTGTGTGTGTGTGTGTGTGTGTGTGTGTGTGTGTGTGTGTGTGTGTGTGTGTGTGTGTGTGTGTGTGTGTGTGTGTGTGTGTGTGTGTGCGTGTGCGTGTGCGTGTGCGCTCCTTTGGTCGATACTTTAGTGCATGAGCTTTGCGCATCTGGGTCTGTAATGAGCTCCGGTGAAGTTTGCAGAGCCTTGGGGTTAGTATTTTTAACTGCCTCCATACAACAAAATGAACCTCCAGTTCTGCAGCAAGGAAGCTGTGTGCAATTGTGTGTCTGTGTGTGGGATACTTACAACTTTTAGCTTCTTCACTGCCTCCTCGCATACATGCATCCCTCTCGACTCCTCCACCTCGACCAACCCCAGGTACTGCAGAGAAAAAAAAGAAATATTAACAGCCAAAGTCAAAAACAGAGTGACATGGATCTGAACTATCACATATAAGTATGTTGAAACAAAAGAAAGAGACAGTGACAAAAGCCAGCAAAGCCTCATTAGTTCCTATCAGTATATAAGTGGCAGGCAAGTAGCTAATAAGCACAAATACTGGATTTACAGCCGCATGTTACTACTGATAATAAGGACCAGAGAGAGATAGGAGGATGGTAATAATTTATAGCCTCACATCCCCTTTTGTTGTCTCTCCAGTGTTCTGCTCTGTGGTGTGCAGAGAGCCCACAGGGACACAATTAAAGCTCCCTCTAGCTCTATTCTTGTCAGTTCAATTCAGTCAAGGTTTAAGGAGAGCTCTGAGTTTAGGGGAGCTTGGTCCCTGAACTAAAATACCTGTTATAAACAATAAGTGGATATATGTGGCAGGTTTAAGAATGAGAGTTTTTTTATGATAGAAAGAATTGCCTGTTTTGAGCTCGAAGAACACAAATAGACAGTCTTCCGATGTCATCATTAGATGCACACAAATACGGGGGAGTAGAAATCAAACTGGGATTAATGAGCATATATAGAGATCAAAATGAGAAGTTGTTTTCTAATCTAGCCCATCCTAATTAGGAGCAGTGGGCAGCCACTGTGCAGGTTTTGTGGCATGAACTGCACGAATCATAAAAGTATCAGATGGAAAATGTTCAATATCCCAACTTCCGCGCATGGTTAGCTATTAGCGTGTAGCTATCTGGTCAGAGCCCTGGATCTTAATCAGGTGATTTTCGTGAGGAAAAGTGGCTATTTTAACACAGCTCACACTGTTACTGCGTGTTTCTGACTGTTGAATCAATACAGCAAATGTTTACCAGGCTCCATGATCAATGCTTTGTTGATCAGTTTGAAGTGAGCGACTTGGTGAAAGCTAAAAACGGAGCTGCTTGTTGATGGCTTGGGGCACACACAGGTCATTTCTCACTACCTGCAAAAGCTAACTTTTTAATCTGGGTTTGAGTTATCACTGCTACTAGCTTTCACATTTGAATATGAACAATTATGTCAGCTAGCTAGAGCTGACAGACGTCTATTGATGTGCACCTATGCTACATTCCATATCCAGAGGAAGTGAAGGTTGTGGATGAGACAGTAAAGAGAAAAGTTTTGTCTTTGTTTGTTTCACTTGCTAAACTTTCCAACTGGTCATATTTCTCCCAAACTTTCTGGTTTTGTAATAGTCAGCTTTTCTTTCAGTATTGCGCCCAAGAACACTTTTTGTTCCTCTGGTACAGTTCGGCAGCTCTCGAAGAGGCATTAATAGTGTATGACTCGTATTTGGAGTGAAAACAGAGAGACGGCAAAGAAAGAAAAGATGAACTGGGGAACATGGAGGGAAGAAAAGCTACAATAAAGAGGCTGAGAGGTTTTTTAATGTGTCTCTCGCTGTAAAGCTCAAGCTCCACTTCACTGCCCATCTCATCGCCAACTCTGTGGAGCATTTTCCATTAGCCTTGTATTTTTCTTTCGCTTCTGGTTTCATTCAGTCTGCAGCCTTTCTCGCTCTTCTCGTATCTAGTTCTATATCTCTCGCTCTCGCAGTTCATATCTCAAAATGTCTCTCCGTCCCCTCTGTGTGCCCTCGTCCCTCACTCTGTTATTTCCTGTGTTCACCTTAATCTATAACTCCACCTCGATGTCTTTCCTCCCTCCCTGTCCTCCATCTCTTATTGTCTTTGTCAGTCCAGCTCTCCAACAAATCACCTCAGCTCTCAGCGACTGGCACACTGTACACACTCTGAAGATTGAAGCTGGTTATCAGTAAATTACACCATTAATAACGCCTCTAATTTGCACTTAAATGAGGCATTTAGCTGAGAACTAAGCGTCTGTGCTTTAATTACCACATGGTTTCTATAAGGCTGAAATTTTCTTAAGTCCTATTAATATAAAATGTTTTCTTTAAACTTAGTTGACTGCTGAGAGTTAGACGAGAAGATTGATACCTCTCTTACATCTGTACACTGAATATAAATCTACAGCCAAGTGGCTTAGTCTAGCATAAAGACTGGAAACTGGGGAAGCAGCTAGCCTGGCTCTGTCCACAGCTGTAAAACCACAGCTTCTTTTTTGGATACATTAGACAAACAATATATATTTGTTAAGTAGTGAGCATTAGAGAGCTGATTATTGTAATGTTTTTTATCTTTGGACAAGGCCAGGCTAGCTGTTTCTCCAGGATTTCGGTTATTGGTTAGGGTTAAGGTCAGGCCCATGAAATCCTGGAGGGACTGTTTAATGATTCAACTATAATTCTAAAGATAAAAAAATCACATCTAAATTTGCAGTTTTCACTCACTCCCATAATTTCATGCCCAAGAACATCACAACTTTCATCGCAATATTTTTTAGAAAAGCTGCCGTAAAATCTGGCATTTTAGGCCACAACCACCACAAAAAAGACCTACAAAATCCTGGAAAGACTGAAAAAATTAACTAAACACTAACATACATGTAAAACTCCTACTACTACTGTTTATCGTTTGCTTACATCACACCTTCACAAACCAGACAACGTTAAAAACATGTATTTGAATGTTACACCAAACATAAATTGCAACCATGTTATGCTGCATTGCTATTATGTAACAGACCTATATATATGAAGTGTAAGTAGAGCATTATAGACGGCCTTGTCCAGAAGCAGATTCAGGGTAAGCGCTTCTTCTTTGATGTTCAAGGATAGAAGCCTGAATAAATGAGGGTCGAGTGCACCTGCTATTGTTGAGGATGCACTGATACGGGTTGTGATAAATGTACTGCGGTCTAGGGCTCAAACCAGAAAACTTTGATTCGCCCTTTTGTGTATCTCTGATTTATTTTTCCTGTTGCTATATAGAGTATGCAGAGTAAGTTACTTCTCACGTAAAATTTGTCAACATAGCATACATTCATGACCTTGTGACATTTTAACAGTTTTGTTCAGTCCTACTTGACATTTTATTGCTATTTTTATACAGGCAAATCTTAAAATTAGAGTGTTTATCATGGTGATTTCAGACATATGTTTACAAACTAATTAATATGAGATTATACTAGTCAAAAATGGAGCAGTATTTTACCGGCTTTGGATACTCACCCGAACAGGGAAGTTACATTTGCCCTTACGTACGGCCTCTTCGTCAGCTTGCCACTGATGCGGTCTGCTGGCTTCTGGCACATAGGTGGGCTTCTTCCTCCTCAGGCTCTGACGAAGCTTGTTCATCTCCGGGGTCACGTTCTCCCTGGTACTGTGGACACAGGAAGGGACGTTGGTTTAGTTGTGTAGCACAGCCAAGAAGGCCACAGGTTAGCTCTTCAATTTGCTCAAGAGATTTAAAAACACAAAAAAGTGACAATCATCATAACCAAGAGACTTCAACCCACACAAAAATCAAACAATATAAACAGCATTCAATAACTTAAATTACTGTATTTAACAGAAATGCTACTTGAGAGCTTTGTACAGAAATTGTAGTGCTGTGTTTCACACAAGATTATGAGTGATAGATTTTATTGATTTGCTCAAACTCATTATGCAGTAATCATCCCTAACAAGGCAGCCAGTACATTAGCGTCACACGCACTTCCTGCCATGATGCTCCATTGATTCTCCATTCAGAAACAGGCTGTACAAATCACACAGGTAGAACGTTAACGTCAATGAACACAAAGCATGGGGCATGCTTTCATCTCTCCAAGAAACATCAAGAACGCTGAGCGAATACTAATCACCACACACACACACACACACACCCCACACACGTGCATGCACTCCAATCCTTCTCTGAACACACACAATCCTCTCTGCGCTGCTTAATTAGACCATTCATCCCGCTGGCCTGTTTAGCGATGCTAATTTCCCAGCATAATGAAACATGACGCCATCAAAACATGACCTGCTTAAAAATTATAATTACTGTTTTCATTCCTCCACTGTCACATCGCCCCTCAACAGATGTAGAGTACAAGAAAAACATTTCTCATCGTATGCATAAGACTGAATTAACGGACTTTACTATCCCTCTTCCTCCCGAGTCCACTCCATCCAAAGCAGTCTCTTTTCTGTCTCTCTACATGTTCTTTACTTTTGACGCATTTCCTGGTCTGACAAGAGACACACCAGTAAGCTTCTATTCCAGTGGAGGGATATAAGACATGTTTCTCTTTGGCCCTCTCTGGCTTCATTCTTCCACATCTCTTGGGTTAATCTGAATAATAATACTTGTATAATTTTCTTACCGTTTGGTCACCCCATGAATCGGCATCCTGGCTTTAACAGGGAGTGAAAGCGCACCAACACTATACTGAAGACTTGTAGTGTCCATATGGTCTGTATACTGAAGGGATGAAATCTTCTCTCTGCTCTGCCACACAGTTCAGGTTTTACACGCAAATATATATATATATATACACACACACAGACACATCACTTCTCATAATCACTGATATGTTGCTGGTAAAACGGTGCCAAAGGCTGGTGTGCGGGAAGCATGTGTAATTAAACTCATGCACCTCACACACACACACACACACACACACACACACACACACACACACACACTCAGATGTGTGTGTAATGCAGTGAGTATTCAAATGCAACAGCTCGAGTGGCTTTACTCATTTCTGGCATGTGAGGCATGTATCCTGACAGACACGCAAAAGCACACACAAGCCCCCAGCTCGACACACATGTCAGGGCTTGTGCCAGTAATTTTCTGGGCAAAGCGCCAACTGACTGGCACCTGGCTGGCCCATCACTGCTGCAGCAGGTGTGAACGTGTGTGTGTGTGTGTGTGTGTAGGGGTTAAAGCTATCTGGTGCGTAATACCTCACAAGGGAGGTGGAGGGGGGAGTAAGGTGAGGGAAAGGAGGTGATGGTTAGGGAATACAGGATGCCCTGTAACTGCCCTCATATGGTTTGGGAGAGCGGGAGAAGAGGAGGAGGAGGAGGAGGAGGAGGAGCGAATAGGACTGGCATCTGATGCCAAGCCACAGGGGAAAGGCACATAAATGAAATGATGTGAACTGAGGGTACTGGGACAAGTGAAACATGTCTGGAAGAAGTGAAGGAATGAGGAAATGAGGTGAGAAAATGAGTGCTGTAACACACAAAATTATCCTGTTGACCATTCATCAGTCATCCATTTCAAATCAAATACCAGAAGGATGAGAACAGAAGGAGACAGCAAGACAGACCAACAAACCAGCGATATTGCAGAATAAAAGACAGAAACATCCCCTAATGCTGACTAAATACTGCAGCAGCTAAAAGACAACCTTCCCATTATGCCAACAAACTCAGATGAAACATTTACATCAATTCTGAGATCCTTTATTCAACAAAATGTAATTACCTGCTTCAGAGCACAGACCTGCTGTGCCTGTATCTGTAAATTAATATTGAGACAAATAAAATATATAATCAAGAAAAGACACATTTTCCGTTGTCCTATCTTTTAAGAGGCCGAGCACTTAAATGTTTCAGATTAAATCAAGAATTGTATTGTAATTGGCTGTTCAAGAAATGTCAAGACAAACTTTGCATTGCGTTCACTGTAAGATTAAATTTACAGAATTCATCACCAACACCACACATTTCACAGGTATTTATTTGGTCATTGTAAAAGCATATAAAACTGTGGCTTTAAAGCCTGAAGACTACATTCTTTACTGTAGAGCCCACATGTTCCTAGTGCATTTATGAAAAGCATTTACGCTGACTTTATCTTACAATTGGTGTTTGTGCTAATGTTCCTCCATAATTACTATCATGTATATAAACTTATACAGTTATGCTAATTCACTTTCCCAGACACACCAGTGTGTCCATTAGCAACTAGTATATTTAACTCTTGTGGCAATGTCAAGCTATCCAAATATTCCCAAATCCGTTGAAAAGTGTATTTCATGATGCTCTGTGCATCTACAGATCATGGCCACCTGGTGTGATGGCGTGGCTGTAAATGGGTGTGATTGTATTGTATTGTATAGCTTCAGTGAATTGTTGGAACAAGTGGATACAAAAAGAAAAGAAGTGCAGGAGTGAAATGAGGACAGCAAAAAAGGTGAGAAAATTTGTATTGTGACACACCCAATAATCTTGTTCAACATCCATCATTATTAAATGGAAATAAAAAGGGACTTTAAGTGGTTTGACACAAAGTTTAACAAGCCAGCTGACTAGAAGGTGGAATATGAGGGAAAAAAAGTGTAACCTTTAAAAGGAAAATTGGGCTTTAAGAGGGTAAACAGATTCATGTGTTGATTAGCAATGGCAAGGGCATGGGCAGCAAAAAAATTAGATATAATGAGTTAATTAGTGAGCTTAGAGGTACTGCGCAAGGCTAGCTGTTTCCCCTGTTTCTTAATGCTAAGCTAAGCTAAGCTAACCTGTTGCTGGCTGTAGCTTCGTATTTACTCAACAGATGGTATCAATCTTCTCAACTCTAGCAGAGGGCAAAATGGTTTGATTCTCAAAAAGGCCATACTATTCCTTTAAAGAAGAAAGAAATATAGTCAGGTATCACTGTGCAGGATACCTGTGGAAAATGCTTCTTTCATTTGCACAGACAGACAGACAACATAAATCCATGTATCATGGAGGAAGGTCACAAGAAAAAGGCCTAAGCCAGACTGCAGTGAAAACACAAATGAAAGCAAGGAGATAGTCCTTCTCTTTCTGAGCAGCACAGTGTGAAATGAACAGAAATATGGTAGTAAACACTCTTTGATGGAGAGACACATTTGGGTGGAGACATTACCCAGCATGCAACATGTAAAGGCCTTGCATAGCTGTGACCTCACCCCGCACAACAAGAACCATCTGCACAAGGAAAAAAATAAAGACAAGAGGCAGAGAGAGGGGGTTGGCCGGCAGGCGAGGATGGAAAACATCAAAATAAATCTATAAATCAGTGGTCCCGCTCTCGTCATAAACCCACGCAAAACGTATAAGCACTTCAGTGCAGACTACACAAACAGGAGGCCTGGTGCCAACAAACACATACTGTAGCTGTTCCTCATCCACTGTTAGAGTTAGCAGCCATCTGGAATGTATTGTTGCAGAGGAGATGGCAGGAGAGGCGACTTACAATCATATGATGCTATGCCGTAGACTTTCAAGTCTGTTCACCCGAGCTGACCTCCCTTTCATCGCCGCTTCCTTCCCCTGTCCTCCCCATTCTTCTTCGTTGGTGTTTATACTCCAGATCCCCTCTTTGCTCTGTACTTGTCCGAAAGATGCAAACAACGGAAGCAAAAATGGGCCTGAAGCTAAATGTCTGCAGCTCTGGCGATGTGAGTGTGAGGAAATGTGTTTAACAGGGATGAATTCAGCGAGAAAAGTTCGCCTACGCGTACAGACTAATAAAATGCAGGGAGAAATTTTTCAAATATTTTGCTCCAGCTTGTTAAGTTGGTATTTTAACTGCTGGAGCAAATGTCATTAACAATGTGGGTGTGTGTTTGTTCTTTAATATCGGTTTATTAGCTTGTGTTTAAAGTGAAGTTAACATTAATGACATTCTGTAGTCTTGAGTGTGCGTGAATGTCACCTCTACATTCCCTCCACATAATCTATGTTAAGACTGCATGAACTCACGTGTGTCCAGCTGTGTTTTGTGCTTGCCAGATGTGAGTCTGATTGATATCTTTGGCATGCTCCCTCTCTTTCACACAGACTCGTGTACGCATGCACGCACCCCCCCCACACACACACACACACAGTGTTCCTCCCTGATCCAGATGTTCTGTGTTCAACAGCAGCTCAGAGATTTTGGCAAAACGGGCCACACTTCTCCCTCACAAGTCTCCTCAACCTCAATCAGACGAAACACACCTCATACAAGGATGGAGATGTAGAAGGAGAGGTGATGTTTCCACACACACACACACACACACACACACACACACACACACACACAATGAGTCACAATCACCTCACATTATGGTAAGCCATATATTTGTAAAGCTCCGGCAGACAAGGAGGGGAAGGATTGTCTTGGCTTAGTCATCACTGAGCTGACCACTTTAAATGGACACAATATGCCTATCTTCTGTTTACTTCTATCTGTTCAGTTGAATTCAAGTTGAGACTTATTGGCTGTGCAGCTGAGAAACTGGTGTAATCTAATGTAAATTTAAATAGCTAGTGAAAGAAACAGCATCAAAGGTCAGTATTACTAAAGCTACATACTGTGCAAAGTTGTTGTACCATTTGATACAACCATATGATACACATAAAAACATT